AATGACATGATGACCTCAGCAGATCCCTCCCCGGTCAGGTCTCCTGATGAGACCTTGGCTGAGGCCAGCACTGCGCCTGCCATTTTGGGAGGCCCGGAGGTGAGGACCCGCGTAAGCTTGTGTGTCCAGATGTCTGACCAGCAGAATGTGAGCTGGCACACATGGGCTGCTTTGAAGCTCTTAGATCAGGGGTGGTTTCTTGTGTAGTGAGAAATAATACGAATGTAGAAGTGGTTTCTTAGGCTGCCTCCAGCAATTGGAGTCTTCCAAACACACGACTGAGGCGATCTCCTTGTAGTGCTCCCTGGGTTTAAAATGAATTTGAGAAAATCCCAAAGGGCGAGCAAGATCCTCGCACCAGTGAACAAGTCAGCTCCCAGCTCACGCCTGGGAATTGGACTTCGCCCAAACCTATGTGATAAAACTTGTTGTTTTGGGGGGGGGGGTGCCGGGGGGGGAAGCAGGATGTTTTGTGCATGTGGCTTTTGTTGAAGTATTTACTCCTGGGAGATTACTGGAAAGTGGTATCTTCCCACCTGAGGCACAAAAATAGACTCCAGCGACTGGAGGGGCTGGTGGGTATGACGCCGACTTGGGTCACCCAGTGTGTGGCAGGTGCGTCAGCAGGAGACGGCCCCTGTCAGCTACGGTCCCTGTCACCCCTTTTTGGGGGAAATCCTTGGACTGTTCGCCTCTCTTCTGTTGAAATCGACCTCATGATAAAGTCTCACTTGTGAGATTTTTAGATCTGACTGGGTGATGACTTTGTAAGGCTCCAGATGGATTGTGTTAGGTTAGAAATATCTAAGTCTTTTTCAACACCCACATGTTTTATGTTTTATATTTTAAATCTATGATCTGTCATCTCTGTGACATACTCCTTTTATTTCACCCGAGTATACGAGCTGCACAGCACTTTATGCACACACACCTCTGACCTCATGCAAGTGATTTCTTGGATCCCACCGGTTGGTTTTCAGCATTTGAATTCATTGCAGATATTGGCTCAGCCCACTCTGCGCGGTGAAGGGTGTCTTAGGGGTGGAGGCGGGGAGGGGAGCGGTGGGCGGGGTCAGGATGGGAAAGGGGCTCCGCCTGCAGAAGTCTGTGTGGGTGGGATGAACATGGCTGGATCCGCAGGGGTCCCAAGCCCCTGCCAATCACAGAGCCTGCTCCCCCCCCCCCCCC